GCTAAAGATGTTAAACAGAACTGGTCCAAGGACAGAGCCTTTGGGCACACCACTGGTCACAGAGTGCCATACTGATTCTCTTCCATCAACTACTACTTTCTGGGTCTGACCTCAGAGCCAATTTCCCAGCCATTGGACTGTGGTGTAGTCAAGGCCACAGCTGGCCAATTTTTCCATGAGGAGATCGTGGGACACCACATCAAAGGCTTTTTTGAAGTCCAGATGTATGATGTCAATCTCTTCTCCCTTGTCCAGGTGATACGTCACCTGGTCATAGATGGAGATGAGATTGGTCAGGCAAGATCTACCCACAACAAACCTGTGCTGGCTGTCCCTCAGGATTTTGACATCAGCCAGCTTATCAAATAAATCATAATAGTATTTAATCACAGTTATTTCTATGGGTAAAGGCTTATGATTGCAATAACTGTATTCTATTGAAAATCACATTGAACAACCTGAGGATTCAGTTTTAAGACCGAGGTTCTTTGTGAATTTGTTGCAGCTTGTAGATACGTTAAATATTTATACTTTTTAGCATGGCTTACAAAAAAATGTCATTAGCTCATAATATGAACTTAGGCCTTGCTGTATAAAAATGCCCTAATTTTAGGTAGAAAAGCCACGTCAGTACGTGCATAAGAACTATTTTCCAATAAAAATCACTTAAATTGTTACTATGAAAACTTTTATGTTAATGCCATGAAAGACTATCCAGCAGTATGTAGCAATCAGTGTATAAACAGTATTAAATTTACATATTTTCCATAGTAAAAAATTATAGGTCTTCAAGCAAGTCATCAGTTGATATGTTTTTAAGGGACAAAACATCAATTTGTATTTTGATTTATAAATTAAATTTGTTAGCACATACTGCACTACTTTGAAAGAATTTTGTGAAACAATATTTGTTTTCCATCTCCCAAAGACAAATACTAGTGTAAAAAAAAAAAAGTAGTAATGTGGCACAAATTCTTTTTTAATGAGAAGTCTCCCCTTTCAAGCCTGTGGAAATAAGAAATGAAGAATTTCCTTCCAGCACCTTAAGTAGTTGCCACTTATACTGCACACAGTTTCTAATTAACTGCAATTGTCAATGGATAATACATTTTTAAAAAGAAGAGAGCTGTACTAATTCTTCAGAAAAGGAGACATCTTTAAACTCTACAATATTATATGTGCTGTGGAATGAAAAAACTATATCTCATTTCAAATGTTAAATTTATCAGGTGTGTGAATGTGGTTGCCTGTAACAGCAAATCATATGGAATGCATCAGAGTCATTTCTGTGCTGACGTGTTAATGGAGAACTGTGAATAGAATCTGAATATATGAGTACTTACCTACTAACCAAGAACCTATTATTAATAATAACTCTTAAAAATAAGAATCCAGTAAAAGGCTCTAACCCACTTATCTTGAGTCTGTCCACTTGCTGGATTCCCTTTGGATCCAGAAATTTGGTGGAGGGGGAAGCAGTGACAACATTAATTACTGTGGCTCTAGAAGTGGACCCAGAGGGTCCCAACTGGCATATGTGGCTAGCCCCACCCATCCCACATGTTGGATCCAGCCCATTGACTGGCCCTGCACCATCCATCTGAGCCCTCCAGCTAGAAATGTTGAGCATCACAGTTCTTTTTTATTTTGCAGAAGTTCCTGTTCCTCAAAATTATAAGGGAACAGCTATATATAGTATAGAATAGTACAGTATAAATATTTTGTATTAGTTGTACTTTATCTTCTAAATATGCAGTATATTTTTAAAAAAATGAATGACAATGCATATACACTGAAGCTTTTTGATTTTCTTTCTTCTTTTTTAAACAATCCAAGTGCAGACTCTGTTATCTTTGTAGCTGCTTTTCAATATTTGTGTATACTTTTTGGGTTGGGTAAAATCATTTCAAGGCTAACAAGGCAATGGTGATAGAACAGCTTATGCAACTAGCGCTTTGGTATGAATGGAAAACAGTTTACCCATAGTATTTCAATGTGTGCTATTTCAGTGTGTTATTGTTCAGGCAAAAAATACATTCTCTCTCTCTCTGTCTTTGAACAGTGATTCCCTGGAGGCCACACAGCCTGTTGCTTATGCTGCCTCAGTAAAGACCATGCCCATGAGTCCAGACAGTTCTGACACCAAATCATCTGCAGCCAACATCACATCTGCTACAGCCTTTAAACCAACCGAGCCTCAGAGTGCTGTCAAACACTCAGGCTGGCAACCTTCAAACAAAGCAGGTAACTTAAAAGGAGTCTTTTTCTTGTTCATTTAGGGGCCTTTGAATCTTTATTAAAATATTCAAACCTACTAAAATGTTATTATTAAAATGATGCTAGAAATTAATATTGACATGGTTTGTCTCATCCACATTTGTTTTAAAAATATTTATTGTTGTTACTGTCTCTGTTTTATTGTGAGTCAACTAGTAACACTTATCCTTTAGCCTTTTTACGAGTAATCCCTATAATTTAATTGATTTTTCTCATGAGTAAAATCTTGAAGCTTGTGATCTTCAACTATTTATTAACATATTTAATAAAAGTCAGATAATATCAGGTTAGCTGATACTAAAATGCTCTAAATAGATATTTCCTAAATGCTTATAAGCTTATTGAGAAAAATATCGGGAGAAAAATACTTTTAACATGTTGGTTCCTTGCTTTTGTTCAAGTGGGATTTGAAATCATTCAGCAGCATGTAGAGATAAGTTTAAGTCTTTGGTATTTCTGGCTTTCACTTGAGTATTCAATTCTAACTATGCAATGTTTAATTAAAAGCTATCTCCTGTAAGGATAATTTGAAAGACTATTCACTTTGAATATGATTTTATAATTCTTATCCTTATGTATCAACACTTGCATTTATTTCTTGTGGAAAATGTACTTTGATTCACTTAAGTATGATAAAAGCAAATAGTGGTTTAGCCTGAGAGAAGGTGCTGCTTTTTAATTCATAGTTACTCTAAGAAATGCACCGTACCTGTATTAATGATGTAATAGTAAGCTGAGTTGTTATAACCCTTTTAAAATTACTTGGTTCCTAAACTGAACTCTTGTCTTTGGCCCTGTAGTGAACTTGAACATTCATTTCTAGGTACTCAGGGGATTTTCTCTTAATTATTTTTACTGTCTTAACCATCAAGTTTCTTATGAGAATACGATGGATTTCCTCAGTTCTACTTCTGACCATGCCTGAGCTCTTAAGTAGCATTTTTTTTATCCTACTATTAAGGGATTTCCCTCTTAGAAAAAACTCCTTAAAGGCCAGAAATAAATCAGTACCCAGTCAGTTCAATGTAAAACGAAAGTGAACATATGGTGTTAATGCAGTATGTTTTATAAAGGCCTCTTTGGACCATATGGTTAAATTACAATTGTATCTGTTGAATAAAAATGAAATGTATTTTGTACTGGACATGCAATACTATCAAACATCCTCAAGATGGCAATAAACTGACACTTCTATACTTGTTAAAACTGTCTTGTAAAAAGCATGGGAAGGCAGCAGCTATTTGACTGATACAATTAAGAGTTATGTAAATTTAAACAAGTATATTTTTAGTGCCTTTTTCCTTATTGGCTGAATCTGAAATGAAAATCCATAACATAGGGACATGTCATATAAAAATATTCGTCTGTTTTCTGAATTCTATTACAGTTTTGTTAGTGCTTTTTCCACAACCGAGTTGATTTATTTCACTAGCAAAGACCCTTTAAAAAACTTGAGGTTTCAGCAGAACACCACTCATTAACAATATGTGAATGGGTGTTACATAGAGAAATCACATAAATAACCTCAGTGTAAATATAAATCTAGTGCTTAAGAGATTTTTTTTTTCACAACTGACTGCCATGGAAGCAGTGAGCTAGAAAGACATATAAGGATTAAATCACCTTTTTTCCCAAACATCTCTATAAATATATAGACCAGCTTCATGTACTGACAAAATTAATATTGCCTATTTGGTACAAAGCAAATAGATCAGGAAAATGTGATCTTGGTTGGTTGATTGGTTTGGTTTGGTTTGATTTTGGGTAGCTTTTGTATTAGGATTTTTCTTTACCTAAGAGAAATAAATTACATATAAAGTTTGAAATTCAGGCTGAATGTAAGCCAATTACTCATTACTATTGGTAGTTTTTCATGTTTGAGGCTACATTTGCAAGTTTGTATATATGTAGAGGGCAATCTGTGTATAAGTGTTGTAGTCTTATATCAGTCAACCTTGTCCATGTTAACATTTAATACTCTGAAGAGTTGCACTAACAGTGCAAGTCTGCCAGATCAAAAAAAAACTATTAGTTTGAACCAGGCAAGACTGTTTGAATTAAAGACTTCATTTGAGTGAAAGAAACTTCATTCTGCATGCCAGCAGGCATAAAAGAGAAGCCAATACAGTATAGTGTTGTGCTAAATAACCAGCCCCTAAGCCCTTTGGACAAAAGACTGAAAAAACAAAGAAAGCTTCCTTATCCTAGTTCAAGATGACACATGCTGTTAAGATAGAGTAATTTATCTCCAGGCACTGACAATGATCATGTTCAATCTATTGCTTTTTTTGTAGAATCCTGAAGTAGTTATGTTAGGAGAATTGAAAACTGGTTGCCCTGAATTCACCCAGTTTCCTTGGGAGTAACAACTTGAGTCATTATCTTTCTTCCAGTAAAAGTGTCATGAAGATTATGGGTAAAGATAACATAAGAGGAAAGTTATTCTAGCTTTACGTGTATTATCATGTTGTTTAACTTAGTCTGGTGTCCTCTAGAGTGCGAGCCATTGACTGTTTTCAAGCACGCAGAAAAATTAGTGCTTCTAAATGCATTTTTTTTAAACTAGCTGAGCTTGCATGTCTGGAGATGGCCATAGTACTGTAGGTTTGCCTGTCACTGGGCTGAGGGTAAAAATGAAGAATTTGGGTTACAAAGTATCTTATATATGTGGCTATGAGACGCATCTTACATTTTGACTGGAATTGTAACAGCTGCCAAGGTATTTCAGGCTTGACCAGAGTTTATATTACAGGTTTCATTGCAGATCTGCCCTTTAAACATGACGTAAACTCACCTGTGGTTTTATATAGCATGCAGTCCCCAGAAAGTAGTAATGCAACACCAACAGATGAAAGGGATCTAGGCATGGTTACAACAGCACTAGAGCAGAGATTGGATCTTCTTCTTTTTCTCAGGCATATATTTTACAAAATAAAAACCTTTGAGGTTTCCCTTCATCTAAACACACTGATAGAGGTGTATAACAAGGTATTTCAGTGCCCCAGGGGAAAGGTGGGTATGGTTATGCTTGCTGCAGCAACATGGGCTTGGGCTGCTGTTGCTGGGGGACAGGTAGCAGCATGGGCTACCTAGGGGCTATTCTGGTGGCATGTTTACCAACCCCCCACCCCAGTCTACCCCTGGGGTCGGGGGAAACATCATTCCACCCCCTTCCTCCAGATACACTACTGGACATGGGGTTGCACCTGCACAGGTCCTATTGCCAGGCCATGCAGGGCTGTGCCTGCCATGAAAAACACTCCTGGAGAGAGAAGGAGGCCATGTTGCCCCATGGGACAAGTGGTCCTCACCCCTCTCCAGTTATACTACTGCTCCCTGGAGTTAAAACCAGCAGTTTTTCTCTGACAAGCACAGCTGATCATTGGTTAATTGTTTTGGGGTTTTGTTTTTTTTTTAACATAATCAAGAGCTTGAGAAACAGGACAAAACTGCAAAGGCTTCAAGGCATCTTTTCTATTCAGTTACTATTTCTACTGTCTTACTGCAGTAGAGTAAGCTTTGCCTGTGTTTTTAATAAGTGAAAATCCCTGATAATTCCTAGTCCAAAAATATTTTAGCTGGATTTTTAATGTATTTTGTTGTCTAAGAAGACAGATAAGTACCTGCTGGTGTTTTTCAAAACCACATAGATGACCGGTTTGGTTTTACAGTTGACATGCTTATTTATGAACTTGGGTGCTTAAAATGAGGCATGCTTAGAAAGCCTGTTCAAGTCCACCTGAATTTCAAAGAATACTTAATATTATAAAACAAGTTATAATACAACAGATGCTGCCACATGTATCAAATAAAAGTATAAGAACTGGCTTTCTTACAAGGACATTTTGCTACTTCAATTGGTGACAAAAATTTCAGGCCAAAATTTTCAAACCTGAATCCCCAAATTAAATCTATGCTTTCGTCCACTTTTATGTGGTCTACTAAAGGACTAGACACAGATTTAGGAACCTCGCTATAGGCACCCAAGTTTGAAAATATTGTTCTGAATTATTTGTCACTTAATAGATTAAGAGAATTTGTCTCTAAGAGGAAACCCAGGTATACTTTTTTTAGGTTTTTTGACCAAATAGCAGTTAAAGCTAATA